TTAATATAAAATGTGACATAGGAATTCATGGTGAAGAGTAAAAATTGAATTGTGGAAGCAGTTCTTTCATTTAAGTAGAAGTAATTGCTTCTGTATTTTCTGAATTTTCTATTATTGAGTTTAATTGGATTATTAAAGATGGAAGCGTTGAGAATAAAACACTATTCCCTTTTCTCTTTTTCTCATTTAACAAAATAAAGACTAGAACCAACTTATATGGATTTTACAACCATAGGAAAGAGACAGAGAGAGGAGTTATAAATGGGTGTCTGTTTTAGTCACTCTAGAAATAGGGTTTTTTGAATGCATCGTAAATGTAGCCTCTATATATAATTAAATATTTTACTATTATTCAATTATTCATGACATTATCCATGGCCAAAGATGTACACGGCAAATGACCTATACAAAATGTATATGATGTAATATCTATATTCTCTTCTCTGTAGCCTTAATGAAAATTCTGTTCCCCATATTCTCAGTCTAAATTGATACTAATTAAAATATTTCGCTATTTCCACATACTTTGCCTCCAATCTGATGGGGAAATTACATAATAGAATTAGTCCAGCCTCCTCTTATTTCTCTGTGTTGGAATAAGAATAGAAGGGTTTTTATTCCTTCTGGAAAAGGAACAAAATAATTGTCCTTTCTCTACTACTATAATGCTGGAAAGGGAAAGGGGAAAGGAAAGGAAGGCAAGATAGATGGGGGCATATGACAAAAGACAGGGAGCTTAGATTGGAGGGTCTGGCAATATTCCAAATCACTGCAAAACTGCATTGTCCATAGAAATGCATTAAGGAATCTCTTTCATTGCAAGCCCTAATGTGATCTAGTCCACAATCTGTATTTTGCCAGGATTGCCTCCCACACCAAAGTTAATACAATTCTGTTCAGTTTTAGGAGAGTTATATTTGTGGATGTTCAATGTTCTAAGCCCCTTTCAGAATTGCTTTCTAATATTCTGTTTGTTTAGAAAGAATGGCAAGGGAAGGAAATCATCCAGATCATAGCGTCTAGAATTCTTTTTAACTCCTTTATCAGAAATAGTCATTGAGGCATCTGTATTTTCTTAAGTGTAACACAATAATAGGTTGCATCCAAGTCTAAATGTCTTTCTGCTTTTGCTTTGTATTGGGTCTGATACTTTTGTATGTTCCATACACTCCAGGGAATTTTAAACAGAGAATTTGACAATATTCCAAGTTAATGCCCAACTATCTCTCTTATAGAAATGTTTCTGGATCTTTTTTTCTTCCACAGCCCCTGGCCCAATCTGGCAATTTTTAAACTCAGTGTTTCTTTAGTTGTCTTCTTACCACACAACCAAACTTGGTCATATTATAAGTGTCATCCTGCTAATGGGCAAACCAATAGATGAACAGAGTCCTAATCCTGCAGCCATAATTTCTTTCCCGTATTCCATTGGGGTAGAAAGAGTGAAGATAGGTGAATTCTTTGCATGGCAGCAGTGAGCTCTGACTTGCAAGGCAGTCCTTTCTGACATTTCTATATAATCCTGAACACCATTTTAAGGTGGATATTATTAACATTTCTCTTGGTAATTCCTTCTGGCAATTAGCTCTGATTTTTCTGTGCAGCAGCTGTGCTGTACTAATGACTTCCCTTATTTTGAAGTTTTGGTACTTATAAAGATTAAGGTATCTGTAGGCATCTTTGTAACCTGGAGAGGAAAGAGGGTACCAGATGGCCCTGATAATACCCCATAGTTGTAATACAGAAATATAACTCAGCATAACCTATCAAACCAATAACTATCATACATGTAGGTATTCATGTGAGCGGTCCTGTAACAAACACACTTCTCTTGCTAACTGTAGATATGTGCATGCCACACTCCTCCCCTAGATGTCCAAATTCATATCATTTTTACAATGTTATTATTAAGTTTATTTGCTGCCCATTTCCCATTTTAAATTATAAGATTACACTTAGCCTGTATCTGAGGGCAATCCTAGTCTACAATGGATAAGGGAATCAGTATTCACACATGGGATGGGAACAGATTGATTCAGGATATGCAGAAACAAAAAAATTCCCTTGGTAGCAATGAGAGGTATTATTTAACAAAATTAAAAATAGCAATACAAATTTTCACAATACACACATGCCTATTCCATGCAAAATCAATCAAAAGAATGGCAACCACTGCATCTGAACATAAAATAAAGCACTTGGATACAGGAGGGGAAATGATGGGCACAAAACAGGTGGATGGATGACAAGACCTTTCCTCTCTCTTTGGATGGAATTAGTGTCCCGGTTTGCATAGTTTGCAATCTTAAGCATATTTCTGTTGTGACCTCACAGCTAAGAATCCCAAAGTCAGCTTTGACTCTTTATCCAAAACTTTTAAGATGTTATGTAAGACTTCTTTGAATATGTCATGTCACTAATGAAATCTTTTCTTATCATCTTTGTCCCTGTACCATAGTGATTTTCATACTTCTGCTAATTAATTATTACTAGGACTAAAAGCAAAATGCTGTGACAAGAGATTGAAGAAATTATGTATTGGAAGCTTGACAAAAGATGACTGAGATATGTTCTGCAAAGGGCATCACAAAGAAAGATTGCAGATTGCAGAATACAGAATATTAGATTTAAATTATAGGAAAGCAAATTACAATTGAATGATAGAAAGCAACTACCTAACAGTGGCAGCATTATAATAGGGGAACTAATTAGTCAGGTTATGGGCTCCCCTTCTTTGGATGTATTCAAACAAAGGTCAGCTATCTGCTTAAAGTGCTTTAATTTAGATGCAATCCAAGTAATTGGATTCAGAGACCAAACTGACTCCTTCCAACTATATGATTGTATCAAAGCACTGTCTCTTGTGAGAAAGTTGTATAGCTGTGTGAATGCACAATGAGTACTGAAATCTGTGTATTCACAAATAAACAACAAGCTGTCTTTCTTCATGGCCTTTGTAACATTGGGCAGGAAATCTTATAACAGAATGAAGGACAATACCATTTTGTCAAAGGAAATATCCTCTTTAAAAAATCACCAAGTCTGTTGTGTTTCATGAATACTCAACAATAGCAATAGCAATAGCAGTTAGACTTATCTACTGCTTCATAGGGCTTTCAGCCCTCTCTAAGCGGTTTACAGAGTCAGCATATTGCCCCCAACAACAATCCGGGTCCTCATTTTACCCACCTCGGAAGGATGGAAGGCTGAGTCAACCCTGAGCCGGTGAGATTTGAACAGCCGAACTGCAGAACTGCAGTCAGCTGAAGTAGCCTGCAGTGCTGCATTTAATCACTGTGCCACCTTGGCTCCAGTTGGATCCACACTGTGTCTTGGCAAGGTGTAGTTCAGTTGTGACAGAGACCTGGGTTATTATCAAGAAAGGAATTCTAAAATTGCTCTCCACTAAAGGAAGACTCTTAACCATGGCTACTAAATCTCTAGAGAATCATTAGGCTGCAACAGGTTTTGTTAGTATGAATTTTTACAAAAGAAAAAAATAGATGGAGTGTTTAGTGATCAAAACTGGGCAGGGAATAAAACAAGGAGTGTTATGGAATATATGAACTTGTGTATAAACACGTGAGAAGATATTAGAGATGTGTTGTAAATATGAAGAAGTAAATGATAGATTATTAGATAGATTAGATTGAGAGGGAGGGAGCGAAATCTATGGATGGATGGATGGATGGATGGATGGATGGATGGATGGATGGATGGATGATAAGTGGTAAAACATACACACATACACTTTAATATGCAATGTAGATGAAATCTGAATGATCTGGAGCAAATATTAGATTGCATGCAGAACAATGAATCTCAATTGTAATATAGCAAAAGTAGATTTGATAGAAGGAATTCAGTCAGTGAGTGTGCAGGTGAATCTGATATCGTGATCAAGTATTTCCTATAGACATAAAAATGGCTGCAGAATGTTCAAGATATGCACATCTAGTAGAAAGCTAGTGGGCAATATGTGTTCCGTTGCAAGTAATTAATATCAATCAAAAGAAACAAAAACAGTTGTGTGGAAGACTATATATTTGTTATATGGAAATTGGTTACACAATAACTGTATGTTACAAGAGAATGGGCCATATAAACAGGTGCAAAAGAACTGTGGGTAATAAGACAAATGCAAGAGTCAAAATGATTGGGTACGGTTTAAATGTTGATTTAATGAAAACAAAAGACATCAATACAAAGATGTTCACTGAGATAATCTGGTCATATACAGAGAATAAATGAGAATTTAATTATCAGAACTGAGAGAATGAGGAAAGACAAGGTGTAGTAGAAGATTCTCAGAAACTGAAAGGTACAGTTAAAAGAACCAAAAGTGGTGTATGAAACAGTACATGGTTATAGTGATAAAAAGAATGGATTGTAAAGATTAAACAATATTGGTATAGTGTGTCATATTGGTATAAAGTAGATCTACTTTTCTTTTGTTATCTATTTTAATTTTTCATTGCTACTACTTACTATTTTCCTTTTTATAACCTTAACACAAAAGGGAATAGCATGATGAGTATTACTGTATATATGTATTTGCTATGCAGACGTTTGATCTTTTTTAACCCTATGGAATAGCCATTATATTTTATCTAAATATATATTTCTGAGATACAAATCTGGTTCAATCCATCTTTTTATTTCATAGTGTCTTGTACATTGGCTCTGTACAACTGATTAGCCACAAAAAAAGGCCTATAGTTACAATGAACCCCTTTCTGGGTGTTGTTATGAGAGAAATAGTTACAGCAATGCCCGGGATTTTGCACTAGACTGAATTTTAATCACTGTAGATTTCATCAGCTACTTGGAAGTAGAAAATATTTTTCACAGAACTTGCTGGAATATGTTTACATTGTATTTTGCTGAAAGGATACTCATGGGGAAAAATCAATTATCTCCCAGCATTTCACTATGTTCTGAATGAGCTGTTTGCAAAATGTTTGGCACTTATCTGCCCTTTCAATTTGTTTTCTTAACAGGAAGTGCAGCGTTGTACATCCGACATGAACATCACCGCTGAACATTCCAATCACCCCGACAACAAGCACAAAAACAGATACATCAACATTTTAGCATGTGAGTAATAATGGCCTTCAGAGAAGTCATAAGTAACAACAGTAACTGTGTATCTTGTAATGATGCCCCAATTTATCAGTATACTTATTTTTTGTACGATCAAGTCATTGTTGAGTCTTGATGATGGCTGAAATAGTTCTTGCAGTTTTCTTGGTAAGATTTTTGGAAGTTGCTGGACATTGCATCCTTCCTAGGGCTGAAAGAGAGTGACTGGTCCAATGCCACCCAGCTGGCTTCATGCATAAGACTACAGTTTCAGTCTCCCAGTTTTCAGGTTGATGTTTTAATCATTGCACCAAACTGGCTTTCTATCAGTATACTTATTTTTTGTACGATCAAGTCATTGTTGAGTCTTGATGATGGCCTGAAATAGTTCTTGCAGTTTTCTTGGTAAGATTTTTGGAAGTTGCTGGACATTGCATCCTTCCTAGGGCTGAAAGAGCGTAGTTGTAGTTGTAGTTTTAGTTGAGTTTATTTATAGGCCGCCCTTTTCCCTGAGGGGACTCAGGGCGGCTAACAACTTGTATGGGAGGGGGAAAACATACAATAACATATAGAATAACATATAGACACAATGTAACTGGTCCAGTGACTGGTCCAATGCCACCCAGCTGGCTTCATGCATAAGACTACAGTTTCAGTCTCCC